GATATAATAAAATGATAAAATTATATATTATAATATTTTAAGTTGTGTTAACCATTAATATATAATATGCTAGTGTTAGAAGTGACCCACATTCATGTAACCATGACACGTTTTTCCAGTGTTGTGGAAGAAAAAGAATAAAACTGTAGTCTTACCTGTCGTGTTGCTCCTTCAGATCCAACCAACTCAGCACCCCACATCCTGGACAGCTTTGAGCGTCGCGAGGTGATGGCGTCTCATCGAGTGGAGCTGCCCTGCAAGGCCTCTGGCCACCCTGCACCCAAATACCGCTGGCTAAAGGACAACCGGCCCCTGGAGCCAGACACGCGCTTCAGACAGAGCGTGACTGGTCTGCTGATAGAAAGAGCCCAGCCCAGRGACACGGGGACATACGTGTGTGAAGTGTGGAATGGTTACGGAAATGCTGAGGTGGTTGGCAGGCTGCTGGTAAAAGGTCAGTGCTCATCCATGTTGGTTTCCAGCAGAATAAGACAAATCTCAATCAGATAACGGTGTTCAGTAAGAAATAAGTGAAAAATGCAATGATGGTAAAATTTTACTATTTTACATATTTCTTCTTCAACAAACAGAACCTCTGAAGGTGACGGTGAGTCCACGGAAGGTGAAGGGCAGCGTTGGAAGCCAGGTGTCACTGACCTGTGGTGTAACTGGCTCTGAGGAGTACCAGCTATCTTGGTACCGCAACGGAGAGCTCATCTACCCCAGTAACAGTGTGCGCATGACGGGCCAAAGCAGAGAAAACCTGGTCATGGCTGGCATGGCCAAAAGCGATGGAGGGGCCTACCAGTGCTTRGCCAGACATGGCAAGATGTCCGCCCAGGACTTTGTTCAAGTCATACTTGAAGGTCAGAAGCCATCATGAGGACTATGTGGGTGGAATCATGTCTCATTCAGGGCTCATTAACTGACTCCACACATATGATCTGTCTACATTTCCCAATGCACATGTGCTATCATGTTTAAAAAAAGGTCATGTCAAATCTTCTAATCTTTAGTTCAATAATGTAATCAAGTAAATCAATTCATAATGTGAGGGAAGCCCTCAATATGGGTACAAAACAGAGCGAGGCAGGTGTGATGTAAGCAGAAGTAAACAACAAAATATTACAAATATGACTGCACACTGAAAACACAGCTGTATGGATCAAAAACAGAGAGTGCAACCAAATATTTGTCTGTATTATTGCAATTTTATTTGAAATTTGAGTCTCAGTAGTCCCTAACAGCTGCAGCGGAGTTGCATACTTTTTTATTCATCATATTGTTTGTATAACGTTGAAAGTACAGWGCGAATTTAAAGATTCTTGCCATTAAAGCCCTTGAAATAGATTGTACCCACTGACTAGTGAAAAACAAGTGAATATGAATGATCTGTTCTTTGTCATCCATCTGTCCAGATGGCACCCCAAAGATTCTGGAATCYTTCAGCGAGAAGGTCTACAGCGACAAGGAGTTTGTCTCTCTGTCGTGCACGGTGAAGGGCACGCCAGAGCCTCGGGTCACATGGACTCTGGACGATGAAGCTGTGATACGGGACGACCGGCACCGCGTCTCCTACTACACCAACACTGAAGGCCACGTGGTCAGCCACCTCAACATCACCCAGACCCAGGTCACTGATGGAGGCGTGTACCGGTGCATCTGCAACAACTCAGCCGGGACAGTTTCTTACCAGGCGCGAATAAACGTAAGAGGTGCTTGTCAAATCAACTCTTCCAGCACACCATCACATAAACATATCAACACGTCCTCAGATGTTCTGTTTGATGCTTTGTAACCAATTGACCACCTTGAAGGGACTGAAGGTCCAAAGCTTAAAGGAATGCCTGACTAAGTTTCTTAAGACAATTCAGCTTTTTTCTCCTGTTACATCTGAAGGCCTCATGTTTTCCACRAGAATACTTGTTCAAATTCTGGTTAACAATGGCGTGGTATGAGGGGCCAAAATTAAGACTATTTCACAGCCAGCGGTTGCTACATCCTCGTAGCAAGATGCTATATCTATTCCTAAGCTAGCTATTGATCTGATTAATGATAGGCTGGCACCGCTAATTGAGCAGCTGGCCCCAGTAACTGGAGGCAGATTCTGGCAAATGAGAAAGAGACTATTCATTTGTGTTAGCATCAGAGAGGCAAGTGACTAACATGGATAAGCTGGCATTAGCATTGGAGAGGCTAGCGACTAGCATGCAAAAACTGGCATTTGCATTGGAGAGTCTAGCAACTACCATTCTTAGGCTAGTGAACCACTGGTTTGCCTACTCCCTTTGCTGTCCATTGGCATTGATAGGCTGGCGTTAGCACTGTCGTACCATTTATTTACAGACTGATATGATACAAGTTATTGCAGAGTTCATTATGATGGAAAGGATGCTTCAGGGARGAAATAATATTAAGTAAAAATGACAATAAAATTACCAAAATTGGTACCAATAATATAACAGCTCTATTTTAGCTATTTGATCCAGATAAACTTTAAAGATGTAGAAGAAATTGAGCATTAAACAAAACACAAATAGTGGGTTTTGAGGCAAAAGGGYGATTTTAGAAGATTGTTTTAAAAGGGGAAATTTACTACTTGCGTAAATAAATTTAGGATGCAGCTAATGATATTCGACTAAAGAGAAAAAAAAACAGCCGTTAATAAATTCAGACTTCTGTGAATATCTGAAATGCAACATTAATGTTTGCACCATTATTTGACTGGAGAGCTGAGTTCTATCTGCAGSTTAATGTTAAACTAGATCACTGTGGTCATATTCTGTGCAGGGTCATTATTATCTCTCTGGTACAGACAGTGCACTCTGGTTTCTGTAGCCTGATTGGTTTCATTTGATCATGTGTATTTTAATGCTAAATGAGGTGATCCTCTACTCATTAGTTAAAGGTCCATGGATGTCAAAGGCAGCCAACCGATGAAGATAGACCTCCACAGATACAGTTGCAGGGAAAGTGTAATGATTGTTTCTCACATCGTTGCATCCTTAATTATGCAGGAAAAGCAAAGCAAGAATAAAGTAAGTGTTAAAAGTAAATTACTGTACCAAGTCTTGTGCAGCTGTCAGTAACTGAAAGAACACTTACCTGTTCTCTTACAAGATTATTTTTTTCTTTATATTATTTGTTTTCGTGTTTCTCTTTATTCT